CAGCCATCTGCAGTACATGCTTTCAATATGATATTATGAAAGATAATTTTTTTCTGCCTGTGAGGCTGAAAGAAGCCCAAGGGAGAGCATCTCTTGAGGTTTTTTGTTGTTGTTTTTTAATTGATTTTGGAGATTAAAGCCTTAGTAAAAAAAAAAAAAAAAAAAAAACAGCTTGAAAGCCCTGGATACTTCCTCATCCCTCTTCAGAGGATGTGCATGGGAAACATATTGCCAGCCTCTCTGTGCCCTGACCCTGAGGCTGTTGAGGTGGTGTTGGTTGGTGCAAGTGATGTTATTTTGGGGGGTGTGATGCTGTTTTTGCATGCTTTACTACAGAAACTTAGCACTTGAGGTGTAGAGCACTGAAGACACCAAAAGGCTTCACAGGCTTTTGAATCTGTCTTTCAGAACTACATGCAGACAGACCAAGGATCCTCAGACCTGCTGTCCTGGAGCTAGCTCTGCCTTGTGCTGCTGTCTGCTCTATGTTGTGTTAGAGACCACAGGGATTATTTCAATAACTGTGATGGCCTCCTGATGAAGGTGGGGAGGAACTACCTGAAACCCTATTGCAGCATAGCTAGAAGTGAAGCTTGCTTGACAAAGAATTGGTCTCATCTGTATTTTATTCGATAGGGCTTTTAATGGCTTTGTAAACTGGYCAGTTGTTTATACTCTTGACTTATTTGATATCTTCTGTCCTAAATCCTACCTTTCTCTACCATGTGTTTTTATAAAAACAAATATGCAGTATCGTTCTAGGGAGTTAGCTTCTTCCCTCTGCAAGCACACATGCACTATGGGTCTTTTCCTGCTCTGTGGATGACTTTTAAAAGCAGAAGACTGGACAACAACAAAACTTGAATCCTTTGTCCTTTCTAGATTGTTTCTGAAATGTCCCCCAGCCTGTCCTGAGTCCATTACTAACCTGCTTGGTTTTTGATGCCAGGCTTCCTAGGTGCTTAAAAGCTATTGTTGCAAATTATAGCACATTTGAAGAGCTTTCTGGTGACCTTTACATTACTACCTGGAACAGCAAGTGAATTAAAACTTCCCAGTGAGGGGATGAATTGGTGGYTGTGTACTTTTCTTGGGAAACTGGTCTGTGGCTCGACTTTCAGTTAAATGACATTTCTGCATGCGTATGAACTGGTTTTGTGCCTTTCTCTGCCTGCAAGCTTGTAGAAGTGACTCCTTGTGTCTTGATGCCCCGAGCTCTGGTGTAGCCTATGTAGTTTTGATTAGGATGTGAACTTCCACAGGGAGCTTTCCTTTCCTTTCCTCTGGAAATASATTTTCATAATTCACAAACGTGTATGTGTGGATGCAAATAGAAGTCTTCTGCTTGCTGAACCCTCAACCRCCTGTAAATGTGTCCTCACATGTAAATGGCGTGGACACAAATACTGCAAGCACAAACAGCCTGTCTTGTATCCATTCTCCAATTTTGTGTAACAAATTTYTCTTTGTATCTCTCAACTGTGTGTCTGCTGCTATTTTGGTGGATTGCTTCTTGTAATCTTTCTTCTTTTTCAAATAGTAAACTTGTTCCTGATGTAATTACTGTGATAAAGCTCTCTGGCATGACGGATCATCCTTAACAGCACTGCTGCTGTTGACTTCAGACAAGATGATATTTTATCCCAAACCTTTATGAAAAGTGTGGTTAAACTGCCAATAAACAGGTTTGTCTTCTCCAGCACTATCTTTATCTGCACTATGTGTCTCTAGCAGGGGATGTTCCCCCGGTTCATCCTCCACAGCACTAGAGAAGTCTCGAGGGAACCTCCCAGTGTAGAATCATACTGAGGAAATACTGCAAGGTGACCAACATCTTCTGTAGGAAATGAGTTAGATGTGTTAGATGTGTTCTCCCAGGCATATGTGCATCACGCTGATGTGAGCTGCTGGCTGTCCCCAAACCCACTGGTGCTTTGTCCGAGTGTGTCAGGGTGTCTGCTGGACTCCAGGACAAGCCTTAACCCAGTCCTGGGGAGCAGTGACTYTTTTCTATGGGATGAGATGAATAGTGGTTGTGTTGTTTTTCTTTCCCCCAGCCCCTGCTCCAAGCAGAGGACAACAAGTTGCAGACAAAAAACACTTGCTAATCAGAATGCAGAAGGAGAGTCTTGTATCTACTCATTGCCTGAGTGCTGGTTGCTTATCCAAGTGTGAAAAGGCCTAATAACTGTATGATTCAATGAATTTCTGGGTAAGARGGGGGGAACAAACAGTTTTTGGGCCAGTCTGGCAGCTTCTCTCTTTCTGTAATAGCCAGTGCCCCATCTTGGCTTTTGCTATTTATAAATAAATCCCCTCATTTTGTGAAATTCATTTTTACTATTTGCTTTCAGAGTCTCTGCTGACAACTAAAAGCTGTAGCAATTGTAGCCTTCCAGGCTGCATTRTACTGTCTGCTATATGCAGTGGTGCCTCGGAACAATTTATAATAAACAGGGATCTACTGCAAAGTGGGATAAAAACAGATGAGTTGTCAGCCTGATATAGGAGCAGGGAGTTTGCTAGGTTTGTGAATAAACCTCGTTGCAATGTATTACTGAGCAGTGGTAGCAAATGAGATGAGAAACAGCAGAAAGCAAATAGTGGCAAGGCCATGATATGCTTGGGATTTGCTCACTTTGGAAGAAGCATTTAGGGGACCTTGRGTGGTTGTGATGGATGGGTGGGCAGTTGATGGTTCCAGTGGGATTATGGCAGTTTGTATGGCACAGTGTAAGAGTGGTTTGGGTGCATGCATGTGAGCTGTGGGATTGCAAGTATTTTCAGGTGTTAGGCACAGATGAACTGAATTCATCGTTGCTGTTGAAGCTGAACATGGCAATACTAAGCAAGACTGGGAAGAGAACCAGGATAGAAACTTTTTGGTGTTTTATGAATTTTTTTTATTTCACTTCCAGATGAAATTTCCATTTGTGCCTCTAACATCTGGGTCGTGGCTGCTTGGTGCCCCTGCTTGAGCAGGGGGCTTGGACTAGGTGATCTCTAGAGGTCCCTTCCAACCTCAACCACTCTTGTGATTCTGTGGCTCTCCTGAGCTAGCACAAGGCTTGGTGTTTGCACAGTGGGTTTGGAGCTGCAGTAGCAGCAGCCAGTCATGCCCAATATTTGGGAGAGCAGAGAGGAGCCTGTTTCTGCCCAATTTCCCCTCTCTCAGCAGCGGGTGCGTTGCAGACTTGCCAGTCTCCCCACTCAGCTGGAGATGTCTCTAGGATGGCTCTTGGGAGGGAGACTGGCTAAAAGTAAGCTGTTTGTAGAAGATTGTGGAGTACATTCAGATAACTCCTTTTTTTTAACATATGAAAGCACTGACAGAGTGTGTATTTGTTGCTTTAGCTTAGGGAAGATGCAACCAAGGGGCAGACTGTGTAGAGAAACKTTCCAGCCAATGGCAATCTAATCATATATATTTATGTCCCTGCACTCCCTTGTCTGGGCTGTGCATTTATTGATGCAGCTTTCGGAAGCTGCAGCCTTCCTGATCTATGCTGTGGTCTAACAGCATCAACCAAATCTCATGGTGAAGTACAGACCGAGTAAGGAGGGGTGAGTGGCGCTTCTGGTTCCTCTTGTAGCAGGTCAACCTGAGTAAAAATACTTAATAATGCAAAACATAGAAACTCAGGGCCTTGTAGCACAGGGAGAAATTGCTGATGTTCCCCCTAAATATTTCTAGGTGATAAGATGGACTAACTTGGTCAGTGGGCTCCTTCCAGAAGTGCTCACAGGATTAGAAGTTAGGGCTGCTGTATTTATTTTTTGGCTGATTTTTGCCTTGCCCATCCAGCCTTGGTATAAAAGTACCCACCAGAGATCCCTGTGGCTGTGCTGCGCWGATATTACTTCCCTGCCTGTTCTGGCTGGAAGAGCTCAGGTTGATAATGCAGCAAGCAGATGTGATTTCCCGAAGCTGGCAGGGGAGATGCCCTAATAAACTGTATTTCATGGTGTGCAAAATTAGGTGTRCGAAATAGAATTAACATGCATTTTGTTTACCTGTGCAGGCTTGTCAAGGAGGGTGATGATTTCAAGCAGTCTAGTTGTAGGTGGACTGAATGCCCATTTGCAAGATCCTGAATATTCTGATTATTTTTCTTCCATAYGTTTTTTGTTCATTACAAGACATGAGACTATCTGGAAGAACTGATSTTTGCATTTGGTGACAATCAAATAGAGGAAGGAACCATCGGAGAATATTAATGGGCAGCAAACCTTACTGGTTTTGTAGCTTGAGCTTGTCAAAAATGCTTCCGTGAGGAGTTTTGACAGCCCACTGTTTTTGAACAGAGGATTTTATTTAAAACCAACTCAGAAGGTTCACAGTAAGAACGTGGTTTTTATTTTGAAAATCTGCCATTTTCTAGTGTTTGCCTCCAAGCGGTAGAGGAGGAGGGAAGGACAGCAAACTTGCTCAGTGCAAAATCACTAACACTCTCCGTGTTGCTGGTGAAGTGCTGGGCGCGCTGGCCCCGTGGGGCAGCGGTGCAGGGAGGGCTGGTCACCTAGTGCTGTCACTCACAGCCAGCAGCTCCTGTGTGGCGCAGAGCTGYACTGGAGCCCTGCACAACGGGAAAGTGATGCTTTAATAACCCTGGACGGATCTGTGCTTTGGATGATTTAGCACTGACCGTATGCATGAGTTCTTGCAGATTCCTTTCCTAGTTACCTGCTGGATCAGCAAAGAGATGTTATTGAGTTTATGCTGAGTCTTTCCATGACCACTGCCAGGCACCTCTGCCCTCACCAGGGTGGTCAGGGCTGAGAGCTGGGCTCCTCTCTGCCTCTGCTTGCATGAAAGCAGGAGGAGACATTTGTTTTGCTGGCTCTTACTGGCCAAACAGCTGTGCCCTACATCCCAGAGGAAGGGCAGGGATGTACAGAGGCATCCTGTGGCAGGTACCTCTGTGGGTCTTGGGTTCATACTGGTTACACTTGCAAATGCCACAGGGCAATGCATTTYATTTGCTTTCTCTTTCATTAAGCACAGGAATCAAGGCTGAAAGAAGCTGAAGGCTGAAAGAAGCCTTCTAGGAATGCTTCCAAGTATCTTCCAAGTCTTAATTTGAAGGCACATTAAGGTAAGAGTACCTGCCCTTTGTTCCTGTTTTTCATTATTGAAAATGTGTGCTTGATTTGCCATTTGAGTTTGCCTGGCTTCATCTTCCAGCTGCTGTTGGCCCTGGCTGTGTCTCTTTGTGTGATACTGCTAAAGAACACTCTCTAATGTTTGAGATCTTTGCTGCTGGAAGGTGTTAAGTTGCTGTCCCCCACGGCTGTCTTTCTGATAAAGGGAATATTGAGCTCTTCCTAGAGTCCCTCACAGCAAGGCATTTCCCTGCTTCATCTGGTGGGGTTTGTAATTCTTTCCAGCACCATCTTCCAGAGCTTTTACCATCCTTTGAAAAATGCATTTGTGAWAACAGTTATCAGGATACTAGTATTGGTCTTGCTAGTGAGGTCTGAAATTGCAAACTCTTCTCCATCAGACAGCTGAAGACTATATTAGATTTTGGCCACAGCATTCTGAGAGCTCACAGTTACTACTTTATTGAGGGTAACTTTTCTTGGAGGTTCTTTTTTATTTTTTTTCTAAATTGCTGCATAGGGACTCTCTGGCAGAGCTCCCCAGGCCCCTTGCAGCCCTACCAGCCCATGCACTGCCTCACATTGTGGCAGCAGGGATTTTGCACTGCCTTCCTGAACACCGCCGAGGAAGCTGCCTGGCACTGGGGTATTACCAATCACCCTCCAACTCGACTAAAACCACCCTTTTTAATGCTAACTTCTCAYGTTGCCATTTGTCCAGCTCTGATTTCAGCACTTTACGCCTTCCTGCTTTCCCAAACCAAAGTTGGTGRCTGCTGTATAGCAACTGTGGAGAGGGAAGTAGATGGATGGAGAGGGGCTGGGGAATGAGGGGGCTAAATAGGGGATAACGCCTGGTTTTACAGGTACCAGGCGAGCTGTGTGTGTATATACATAGTGCAGAGCATAAAAGCCTGAAGTCTCCTCTAGCACAGCCTGTAATCCTATTAGAAGGATTACTCTGTTGTCCTAGGCTATCTGATTGTGGTAAGAACTCATTTAGGTCAGCTGTTCAAGAAACACACACAAGAAAAAAAATTAAATAAGCCTCTTGCTGTATTTCACAGGCATCAACAAGCTCCTTTCRGCCTTTCCCTGTGCTACTGATTACATCCCTGCTCTTGTAGTTTCTCTCCATCCCTCTTAAACCCTAATGTAAATGACTTGTTTTTAGCTTTTTCACTTGTAGCAGTAGATGTTGGATGGTCAATGTGGTAGCTAGACCCCAGGTATTTCCAGACCTTGAAAGGATTAGAATTTAAAATGGTGAAGTGCTTTGGTCTTCGCTCTCCCTCTGTGTGTGCATGCACGTTATAACTTTGAGAGTAAGGGTATGGGCAGGCCTGATTTGTGGGCAGAATGTAATGAAAGCTAAATCTGGTTTGGCAGAGCCCCAATCAGTTTAATCCCTGGTCTGCTGATTATCAGCAATGTTATAATTTAATTTGAAGCCTCTGTATTTATAAGGTCAGCAAAGCACTCCCATGTTTTCATTTGCAGAGAGGGAAAGCAGGGTGGCAGTCAGCTCAAGTGCCTGTCTGCCTCAGCACTCCAGCAGAGCCAGGTATTAAGCTCTCCTCTAGTTAAAACAAGCAACCAAACAAAGCAGCTGGACACAGAAACATAATTATGTAGCTAGGTAGGAAGCTGTTTGTGTTGGGAACAGTGTGGTGGAACTTTCTTCTCCTGAACTGGAACAAAGCCATGGCTGTCTGGAGCATCATGGTGTAGTTCAGTCCCCACCCAAATCCTTACTGCAGAAATAAAGGAACTGGATATAAAAATTTTGCCTTTTGCTGCCAAAACACAGCCTACTCATGAGGGTCTGTATTCTGGGTGTTGGCAGTCTATGAGTCTGAGTCTATGAAGGGCAGTTGAGCTGTTTCTTTCCATGCAGTTGAGCTGTTTCTTTCCATGCAGTTGAGCTGTTTCTTTCCATGCAGTTGAGCTGTTTCTTTCCATGCA